CCCCCCCACACACACACACATACAACCCATTAAAAAATTATATTTCGAAGCTCAAGTCTTTGAAGAAAGTTTAGGTACTTGAGAAACAGGAATACTTCCTGCATAACCATACAGGATTGCAAAAATAAAAAGAAGAGAGACAAAAGAGTTTAAGTACTTTAAACTCTGCATCTCAAGCCTATTTTCCAAACGAGATTCTACGCCTTTCCCACGGCAAGAATGCCTGGCCTAAGAACCGATTGATCAACGAGACTCTATTCAAGTTGTACACAATGACTACGATTAAACTGTTCTTGCTTTAACTGTATAGCACAATGCCCAAGGCCAACTTTCAAACAATACGACTGGACGAGGTCCATTGAATAAACAAATAATAATAGCGTCATTATTTGGGTTTTTGTCGTTAAACGTCATAAAGGATGATTTTGGTATCCATGAAATGATCACCAAATGATCTTCTGTAAACATTTTCCAAAAGCCGGGTGTCCACAACAACTATAAGGTAAATTTGGCCCTCGTTAGTGTAAATCTAAATGTTCTTTTAATTCTGGCACCTTTTGACCATGAATCAAGAAAGAATGGAGGTCTTTAAGGAGTAAGGTTTTTTATTGAAATATTTTCTTAAAATTTTACTTAATCATGTCTGCTCTCACCTCGCAATCTCCTTCTCTTGGCCGTGGAAGGCTTGCACTGTTCTGATGGCCCTCAAACACTGCTCGGCCACCGCACCGGCCTTGGCGTAAGCTCTGAACTCCTTGGCAGCAAGGTTTCGCAACACCTGAGACCAAAGAACGGGGTTTTTTCTTTCTTTTCGAATTGTGGCAAGTGTTCCAGCAGAAACTAAGGACGTACTATACAATAATAATATTCAAGTTTATACCCATAGTCTGTCTCCAAAAGCAACAGATAACTAGCTTTTGAATCCCTGTGTCAACGAGATGGCATGCCTTCGATATAGTTGACAGGTACCTGACTTTATTATTGGCATGACCGGAGTCCGTGTGGAGCGGTTAGGCCCTTCGCTGTCGCGCGCAAAGACTCGAGATCGATTCCCGAGGAGGGGAAAATTTTATCGAGTATCTTGGTCTTTTTGCTGGGAGTTTGCATCCTTCCCTCTGAGCCCGGATTGGCCCTGGCAGGCAGGATCGGAAGCCTGCCTCTAAATTATCAAAATTGTGTCAATTATGGTGTAAAACACCTACATTCAAAGTCTGGCTTTCACAAGCCTGCCATGTAAGCCGGACAACCATCAGCACAATTCCTGAGAGCTCCTGACCTGAGCACCATGAAAAAGTTAGAAGACACACTTGCTTAAAAGGAATTCCGGCTACACCAAGGATCTGTACCATGCATCAACATGGCTCGCGCATCATGTACAAACCAGCGAACCCATGTACAATGGCGAATCAGCCTGCAGATGAAAGAAATACGTGGACGATCTCGCCGAGGGACAAGAGCAGTGCGTGTCGTCCAAGGCGGACGCGGAATACATTTTACAATGACATTTGCAGTAAGTAAAGTCTGTCCTCATATATACCATGAACTTAGAAAGAGGAATTACAACTGGCCTACGACGGGTGCATTTTTTCGTCATAGATAATGAACATCCTCAAAGGCAAGCAGCTAAGCTGAAATTGCCTCCAAAATACTTATCTCCGATTTCTGTCTAATTCCTCCCCATTTCCCAATATCCGCAAAAATACAATTGCTTTATGGAAAGCACAAACAAACAAAAATGGTGGCCGAAGTTTGCCACTAGTTCCAAAAAAAATCAGTACAACGAAGAAAGGATGCCAACCTTAACCCAAATCGCGGAACCAGGAGTTGAAGACAGTGGCTACTGCTCCAAAGACGCAAACTACTTTTAGCGATATGCAAGCATACGTATCAAATTTTGCCTGCCTCTTTGCAAGACAAGACATAGCCATGTAATTTCAAATGTTGCTATATTTCATGTTCTTAGGGCGAATGGGCGAGGTGGGGTTTTGTTTCTGATTGTTATTTGCTACAGCCAAGCTGCCTTCTCTTAATATATATTTTTCCTTTTATTCATTCGCTTCAAATCATCTCAAGTCAGTGTCTCTACATGAGGAAAAAAGAGGAGGAGTGGAGAAACAGTTGTTTTGAAACCTTTAACAGCCTTTTTACTTTTGCACTTGCAATGTCACATTTGTTTCTGCATTACTTCACATTTGAAATGGCAATTTTCACATTTGAAAACGCACCATGGGCAATTTTGCACTTGCTGTCATATTCACATTTGAAACTGCGTGTCATATTTTGCCTTACCATATTCGCATTTCAACTTGCTATGTCACATTAATTTGAAAGGGAAATATTATGTTATCCCAGCAGACTGGATAGCTTTCTGAAACAATTTCAACTTCCTGGGGAGCAAACAGTGCAGGCTGGCATTTTTTATAGGCGCTAAAACACTAGCATGCTGACAAGATATTTCGCTGACCTTAGCAAGGCATCCGTTTTCGCCTGAGTGAAGTGAGGAAAATTCGTGTAAAGTGCTTTTCCCAAGGATACGACAACGTCAGGCCTGAGGTTCAAATCCCCGAACCAACAATCTCACGATTGCAAGTTCAGTAGCCTAACCACTATACCACCGACGCCAAGTAGACGTCTCACCCCTCATCAACACTACTTAGACTATTAGTGAAACATGTTGCTTCAAACCTGCTTTTCAGGGCCAGCTCGGGCTGTAATGGATATAACGAGTCAGCAGTGCCCAGCACAAAAAACGAAGATGTTCGATATTAATCATCTCCACAGATGTATCGAGCTCGCGCCTTCTGTGTGCGACAGCCAAATGCCTATCCGCTACACAGACACCGGTAGTAGTCCCTCTATAACTAGATCTATGCGCATCAGAGAGCTGGATCTATCGTTTGATTTGATTTGGGTTTGTGGTATCATTCTGCGCTCAGGATAACGTTCTTCTCCAGTAAGCCGGCGCTAAAAAAAAGGAGGATACCCTCGAAGCTTGTCGGGCAACTTATCGTCGGCCTTGTGATAAAACCGGCTAAGCCCAGCGAGGTAAATTTTACAGGAGAAGGAAAAAACTGTTTTATTTCAAAACAAAGGCGTCTAGCGATAAATCAATGCTTTAAACACCTATAAAAACACTTTACCGAAAAACTGTAGACCTTTTTTCCTTTAAAAATCGCTTTTAATGAAACGGTTATGTCGCTCAAATTTTCCCCGATAAAACCGACCAACCCTCAAT